AAAAAAAAAAAAAAAAAAAGAGGGACTAAGGAGGTAGCTTAGTGGTAAAGTGCTTGCTAAGCATGCACGAGGCCCTGGCTTCCATCCCCAGCACGGCAAAAATAATAAAAAGAAAAGAATATAATTGATCTGGGTAGCGGGCACACCTGTAATCCTGCAGCTCAGGGGGCTGAGGCTGTAAGATCACAAGTTCAAGGCCAGCCTTGGCAATTTAACAAGGCCCTAAACAACTTAGTGAGACTGTGTCTGAAAGGAAAAAATAAAAAGGGGGCTGGGAATGTGGCTCAGTGGTTAAATGCCTCTAGGTTCAACCCCTGGTACCAAAAAAATAAAAATAAAAAAGAATGTAATTGAAAAAAGCAGAAAGCCTCCTCGTGAGTACGTGTAACCTTGTTTCATGAAACACCACTTGCAATCACAGTTGCATCTGCCTGGTTCGCCTCAGGATTTATTATGTGCAGTTGTCCCTCTGCGACTAAGGAGGATTGGTTCCAGGACTTCCGATTCCAAAATCTGCCGGTGTCTGTGTCCCTTGAATAAAATAGTCTCTAGATGGCTCGTGATGTCTAATACCAGCCCGGTGTAAGGTGCATAGTTCACTGCGTTGTTTACGGAATAATGACCAGAAAAAAGTCTATCGTGTTCAACACAGAAGCAATAATTTTTTTCCCAAATATTTTCAGTTGAGTGTGAACCTGGGTATAGAGACCCACCTGCGTCCCAAGGTTGCAGCGTCTTGCCCGAAGCCACCGCCTTGTGTTGTCCTTAAGGATCTCACTCTCATCTGCCACTGTGCTGGCCCCTGTGTGAGATCTGATGCAGGGACCAGTCCTGTCACCTGTTTGCTCACTTTTTATTCATGAGTGTTCGACTGTCCTGTGAGCTACAAGCTGAGGCAGGGAGGACTTTGAAATAGGGCTGTCCCCTGTGTGATCTTGGTTTTTGGGTGGATGTGGGCCATCTGGCCAAGGCCTTCTCTGGCCTGGCTCCAGGCCTGTTTGGCAGCAGGCCATGCCCACCACTGGACATAGCCATGCTCACTTAGGGTGTCCAGCCTGGTCCCTATCCATCCACTCCCCTTTTTTTGTGTTTTGTGGTGCTGGGCATTGAACCCCGGCCCTTGTGCCCGGGAGGCGAGCCCTCTACCAACTGAGCTTCGTCCCCAGCCCCATCCACTTTCTGTGACAGTTCTTCTCCTGTGCTTTTCTAGCCAGGTGCTGGGGACGGGTCCAAGGAGGAGATGTCTTCTGTCGAGAAACCAACCAGAGCCTTACCCAGGAAGTCCAAGGACCCCCTGCTGTCTCAGCGGTGAGCCCTGGCTTGTCACCATGCCTGTGGAGCTACCTCCTGCTGGCCTGTGGGGGGAAGCTAGGGAGCCAGGTGTGGGACTGCAGGTGCTCTGGAGTCAGGAAAGGCCAACCTTGGGGTGAATTTGGGGCCTGTCCCCCCTGGCTGGATGATGGTGTGCCCCCAGCCCAGCCCTTGCCCTCCCACCCTATTCCCAGGGCCCACTGAGGCCGGGCCTCACCCCTCCACCCTCCACAGGATCTCCTCCCTCACAGCGTCGCTGCATGCCCACAGCCGGAAAAAGATCAAGAGGAAACGTCCCCGACGGGCACAGGACTCCACCAAGAAGCCCCCGAGTGCCACCCGCACCAGCAAGACCCAGCGCCGCCGGCTGACGGGCAAATCCCGGCATAGCGGGGAGTGACCCTGAGAGCCCAGCAGTGCCAGCCTGGGCTGCAGGTCCTGTCCTGCCTCAGCTTGGCCGTAACCTGCGCACTGAGCTGGTGGCTCCACAGCCAAACTTGAGGGCTCTCGGGCCTGGGACTGTCCTTGTCCGAGGACCACTCTGGGGCCTGAACCCCGGAAGGAGCAGGCAGCTGAGAGCTGGCCCCAGCAGGGGACTTCAGAGCCAGGTCAGGCATCTTCCCAAATGTACCCTGTCTGGAACTCATCAGATCTGTGAAACTCCAAATGTGTGCCTTGTGGTTTGGTCAGGAAAGGCCAATCTTGGGTGAATTGGGGCCTGTCCCCTCTGGCTGGATGCTGGTGTGCCCTCAGCCCTTGCCCCTCCACCCTATTCCCAGGGCACTTGTCTCCACGTCCCAAGGGCTGGCTTCTGGGGTGGTGGCAATGGCTGGGGCGGGGCCCATCCTCATTTTCCGGCATCTCTCCCTGAGGGTGTGCTAAGGTTGTGTTAGCTCTGGGTCCCTCTTGCATGTCCATGGCAAAGTCCAGAGTCCACCTGCTGCTCTGGGTGGCTGGACAGTGGCAGGCCCTGCCCTCCTCTCAGACCCCCCCTGGGCCTCATCAGGCTCCTCAGCTGGAGCTGAGGTGACGGAGAGCCCAGATCTGGGACCACTTCAGGCTGCCAGCGGCTCCCAGGGCCCAACAAAGGAGCATTCATTGATCCTTGATCCTTTTTCTTTCTTTCATTTTGTTTGTTTGGGTGGGGCTGGGCTGGAACCCAGGGATCCCAGTGCCAGGTAGCTGTACCGCTGAGCCCCACCCCAGCGTCCTCAGTTGTTAAA